ACATGTTAACCCAAAAATAAATGCAATTCACTTGATGATATTCAGGCCGACTAACGTGACACCTCTTGGAGGACAGTCTTTGAAGATAAATCTGTCGGCACGGTACTGGCTGTGCAGTGCTCGTTTGAGGATTTGAGAGTGGGTGGCTTCTTTGGGACTTGTGAAGCGCATCGTCTGGTTCTGCGCACAAAAATTTTAGTCTCGTTGTTGGAGATTTTTAGATTATGATTTATTATAGCATGTGCAGCGGCTTTTGGCCAACCATCGAACAAAGACGGCGACCGTATTGCGTGTTTTCAGATGCACTTCTGCAGCCATCTGGAATGTTCTTCTAATATCAGGAAGCCACTGGAGCTATGCACTTTTAAATCTAGATTTAAAACGCATTTCTTCAGAACTGCTTTTTGCGTTTAGTTTGTTGTCTTTCCCCTGCACCTGCAATTAGCACTGTTGGCTAAGTACCACGCGAAAGAAGTTCAACATTAATGCATACAAAAAAAAGGACCGCTGCTATTATACTCACAATCTTGTAAACGCTAAGAAATAATTAGCAGCCAACATTGTCTGCAACATTAGATTTGGTTGGTTTCGAGGCAACGGTTAATTATGAAAACAAATGTAAGTTTTTTTTTTATTACTTACGGCCTTTTGTAAATGTCTGAAATTATATACCCCTACCTGTGTGACATTTAATCTATTCATTCACGAGTGCAATCGCGCCTCTTGCTATGCGATGTGTCACGCACCGGTGGGGGCGGCGGGGGGGGGGGCAGTCTTTTGTGAAGGCTTGCCGACGGCAGAGCACAATCGCGGAGACCGTTGGACAAACGGTTGATTTATGGAACAACTCCTTGTGCAAAGCGGAAAAGTGTAACGGCCGTCATGGGAGTGTCGCGTGCGTACCAGCCGGTGCACACACGACTCTTCTCATTCCAGACTATGAAACACTCGAGCTGCCTCCAGCCAGCGGAACATTAGTCACGGTCACTGCAATTCATCATTCGCCGTTTCCGCGGTGTTTCCTGCATTGGTGATCTTTCGACTTAGTAGGAGCCAACGGGATTTTTTTTTTACTTCGTATGTATTAGTGCTCGAAACCAATCAAACATGTGTAATTATTGTAGAGTTCAGCTCGGCTGCTTTAAAAATCGTGCTGTTCGCCAGCAAATGTTGACATTAAATCGCACATTATAATGTAATGTGGTACTTGAGCTGTTTATTGATGTGTTCATCAATAAACAGACATTTCCCATTTAACCTCATAAGTGGTGCACATTTTGGTGTAATGTACGTGCTGCTATTCAATCGCCGAGTTGGATTTCGCTTCATAATGTATTTTTTAGTACGTGTGAAATTGGCCTACATCTAGAATGGTATTTCTTTGCATCAATACGCATTCTCTTAAAAAACGCCTTTACATTGTATAAAGACATTGACTCGGCAGTCCCAGCAACATTGCCTTATGCAAGTCACACCACACCACCAACGGTGTTAGGAGTTAATTTAGCTTGGGAGACAGGGGCAGCAGCAAGTGCTCTCCTGTCTCTTAACGTCTCAATTATGACGACCAAACACCTTTCACACTTGTGACAACAAAAATAGACAATGGACGGGCCAGTAACGTGTCGTCTTGGATAAAAACGTAATTTCTTTATCGGGCATGCCCAATCGTGACATTTTAAGCAGCGAGAGGCTGGTTCAACGGCACTCCCTTCTCCATGGGACGGTCGATGAATCCGGCCCCTAACCTTTCATCCCGTGTGACATCGCCCGGTGCAATACAAGTGTTGCCTGTGGTAATGACGCCACATATTCTTGGGTCTTTCGGTAAAGTCACGTAGATAGGTTCAAAGAAAATTTCAAAAAATTACAAAAAACTATGACGTTTCGATCGCAACATGAATTCCTGCAGTCACCAAAGCTTTAAGTCAAGATTTAATGACGCCACACACACACACACAATGCAGAAAGATTTGTGTTTTGATACATATATGTAGTGGGTTCACTTGAGAGACACACGAATTCAGGAGGCAACACGTTAATTCTACGACCACAACGGGGTAACTACATAACCAGTAACCACCACGGGATAACTACATAACCGGTAACCACCACGGGGTAACTATATAAATGGGTCAGGTCAGTCGGCACACTGCCTGACCCACGATGCCGAGCACGAAGACCGGAGACCGAGAAGAAGACGTAGCACGGCGGGTTTCATTCCAGCAGACAGCCCCGATGGGACCCCTGGACCTCCCTTTTATACCCCCCCTGCCCCCCCCCCCAGCGCGGCCTGGCTCCGCCCTCGGCCACGCCCCCTTCTGGAACTTACCAGAAGATTCTGGGCCATACACCACGTGTCCCTTCTATATCACCTTTGGCCCACATATTTACCCTGTCCTGTCACGTGCCCTTGCCAGCCAAGCGGGCTGCTACGTCCTCAGATGCCCCTTCTCTGCCAGCCACCAGAACTATGCCCCCGAGGGACCCTTTTCCATGACATAGCCCTGCTGGCAGAGAGGGCTACTACACTCCCAGTTCCTCTCTCTATCAGGAACTGGCACTAAGCGCCGAAGTGACCCATTATGGTGTATGTCACTACACATACATTCAGAGCTGACAAATAATTATGTTGTACTGTGCAGAATTAATAGTGACTCAAATCGTTTTTTTTATTAATAGGCAGTAATATTAGTCTAATAATAATAAATTGGTTTCACACGGTAAACATCGTATATAAAAAGTTGATAGTAAACCCTGTTTTATTTTAAATAGCTTGTTTCATACCGATTCAACTTGGTTACTTTGAAGGAACGCTTGCATATTTAACGAGGAGCTATTTTCCCGAGCCGTGGGTCGGGAAGTGGTGACGGGGGGGGGGAGCAAAAGGATGGGGCGGTGGTAGGGGTGGGTGAGTGCCCGTCATCCAGCCACGGGTGCCGCACGACGCTGCGCTACACGACCGCGCCACGCGACGCTTCGCCGCCGGCGTGTAAAGCGAAACCGCGGAGCGCCAAAGTGGTCGCGTGGAGGATATTTTTTTTGGCGTGGGGGCTGACGACAGTTGCTCATGCCGAGCGATGCGGATCATGCAGACGTGTGCTTTCCCCTCCACAACCGGGGTTGGGGGGGGTGAGTAGCCGCGGTATGGCGCCCGCTCGTTTGTTAGAGCCTTCTCCACTGCAGGGCATACGAGAGCAGCGCATTGCAGAATTCGCGCGGGCTCTCGACGCAGCTGCAAATACAAACAATGCAATAGTTGAGCAAACCTCGCCCAGGCTCGCAGCCTTCCTTCATTTCCGACACTTGCCCTTCCGGCAAACGCAGGTCCTTTATTCCCCTGTTGTGCAAAATCCCAACGGAGGAAGGGAAATCGGTTCTTGCTAATTGCCTGAAGCGGGGAAATGCGACTCTTCATGTGTACAAAACGGGGGAATGCTAATTAGTGAATTTTAACATCCATTTTGAAAATTGCGTGTGTTCTCGGCTCGCACAGAAGTGTAAGTGCGTGACCTTTGATGAACGTGGGGTGGGTTTATTCATGTCCTTGCCGATGGTACGCCATGGCAGTACAGTTGTGCTTTTGACATTGGCATAAAAAATATATGTAAATATAGCCACCATTTGTTCGACATTCCTCGTGTTTTTTGCGTGTGCACTGATGCGATGTTTTTAATTGCTGTTCTTCTCTCTGTTAAAGGCAAACTACTCTTGGGGGTAGAAAAGGCAGGAGTAAAACCGTTTTTATTTTTATTTCCAATGCCCTTTATACATATGTATGACCTATATGTGTTCGTTCCCATATTCTCCCCCTTGCAATTATGGCGTGTTACGCCGGGTTGTGTTTATTACTCGCAACACGCAATTATCGCATTGTATCTCCCTCCCGCAGCGGTGGCGTCGGAAATATTGTCAATTTGGAAACATGCTGGGCGATGCAGATCGTTGCCTCTAAATCCAAATCGTTATTTAGCGATTTTAACATTATGCTCATCCCCGAAGACGGGGGTGGGGGACGATTGGGGGCGGGGGGCTGGAAGTTATGGGGGGAAGGGGAGGAGGGGTGGGTAAAATATATGCGGTAATAATCTCCCGCATCAATTATTTAAGCGTCTCCCCAGTCAGTGCGTATCTTCCGTGCCACCGAGAGACGTGGGCGAGATTGCCAATGCGACTTGCGGGCATTGAGGCGTGCGTAGATTTAAACACGACCCGGGAAATCGCACTGAAGCACATTTGCAATTTTCAGTGTGGCTGACTGCGGTATGATCCACCTTTAATGCCCCAGCATAACGGACTTGATGGGCAGGGCTGGTGGCCGATGCGAGGGGTCGTGGGAAGAGTGGGTGCAAGAGATTTGGTGACATCTGGATATTTGTTCCTTCTGATAATCTTTGCTGGTGTAATCGGGGCTGTGTATAATTTCATCGTAAAAAACTTGCACACCCCATGTGAGTGCATTCTTAGTCGATAAACGCTTGACTGAATGTACCATTTAGCGTGCACTTTGTCCGCGCCGATACGAATCGAGGTTCATTTGTTAATACTACAGCACTGTATGACAGATAAGTTATGACGCACTGGTTTCACAATGAGCCAAATATTATTCTCACACCTTTGGAGGGAGGATCAGCAGCATTGATCAGCTGCAGCCTTTAAACGTGATGCAGCTGCCTGCCAGTGTATACTGGTGGGCCCAATACTGTAGGTCAAAGAATGTTTGGAAAATAATACGTTTCTGGACCATGGATCATTTTCTACCATTCAGAGTTAGACCACAGGGTGAAAATACTTATCACAGCCGTGGGATCAGTCTCACTTCAGCGCTCTCTTTTTCATCTATATGAGCTGTCAGTCATAGCACAATTGTAGGCACTCTCGAAGGAGCGAGCAGAGCATTACTGGTGCCTCCCACACCATAGCCACGCTTCAGTGGACCCATTGGGATGGAGGCCTGTCTTCGAATGCGCGCGTACGTGCGTGCGCTCGCTCTTCCACAGATGATCCTGGATGACGGCAAGCGGGAGAGCGCCATGAGCAAGCTGCTCATCACGCCCAGCGACGGCGACATCGGCCGCACATTTTCCTGCCGCGCTTCCAACGCCGCAGCGCCCGACGGGAAGCAGACTTCCGTGAAGCTCAACGTGCAGCGTATGTACACGGCACGCACGCACGCACGCACGCGTATTACCCCCCGTGCATTAACCCCCTCCGCCCCCCCTCCAACTCCCCCCCCCCCCTATCACAAGTCGAGCATTTAGCGACCGTGCACCAGACGAGCACGCATTATTATCATTATTACTACATCAATTAGGAGTGTAGGAACCCCTGTTTCAACGCTGCTGGGCGAGCGTGTCACCGAGTCTACGAGTACTCCCACGTGGGCGCGGCAAAATTATCTCCGGTACCATGTGTTGGAGTCAAAGCATCTGCATGTGAACAGGCGTTCTGTTGGCTTCATTAACGCCAAGTGGCAGTGTGCAAAATTTGCAACGTGAACAACTGCTATGCATACAACAGCCATTAATTAAAATCATACACTGCCCCGTAATTATGCCACTTTATTGCGTTTGAAATTATACATTCCACGTAAAACGAGAAACGCAAACATAACCAAAAAATAGTGTCCACCTATTCAGCATTCGTACTTTTTTTTGGGGCCGATTCCTTAAATGAACGCGTTTAAAAGTGGGGAATCGAAAAAGTGTGGTGGGCAGTCCTTTCCAAATAAAGGTGCACTTAATTGCCTTGTTCATTAAAAGAGGGAAAAAAACACCATTTGGACAGTCTGTCCACATTCTGCACAGTACTGCCTGTGACAGATGCACGGTCCTTCCCTGCTACACCGCAACGCTTGAACATTCAAAGCCATCATTCGAGGGGCCCATCCATCGGTTATAAATTAACACTCCATGTGTGCTAACAGGGCTTGAAAGGCTAATGAAGATGCTTCTTAATATTAAACGCTTTCTTTGCTAGAGCAGCCGGGAGACTCATTAAAAATGTGTGCGGCGGTTGAGCGTGCCGTGTCTCAAGACATGGCGCTCACGCCGCGGAATCAATTTAAAAAAGGTCACCGTTTTTAGCGATCGGAAGCGGCGTTCGTGGTGCAAATGAGGGATCGCAATGCAGACAAATAAACAAAAGCTGTTTGGGTCCAGATAGGAAGAGGTGGTAAGGACGGGGTGGGGGTGTCAGGGCAGGCGACGGGGCGGTGGAGATTAACAAGTGGAAAGAGGTGAAATCAACGTGCAACGCCACAATCAGCTCGCTCACGCCACTGCTGACGAAAGGATCTTTGCTCCAGGGAACTCTGTCTCTCTTCTCCGGGGTAATTTGGCCTACTCTTCCACACTGACGAGACATGTTGAAAGAGGTGGGAGGACCCACACTTTACCCAACCACACGCGGCCGGCCGAGTGTATACCCCCTTTGTAGTGCTGAGTGGACAGTGGTGGCGGCGGCGGGGGGGGGGGGGGGGGGGGGGATGTAAGGAACTTGCCCCACGTGTTTCAACTGCCACGCCGGGAGATGGAACCGAACCGGCCACCTCTGGGTCACAAGTCCAGTTGTGCGGACCCTTTGCATCACGGGAGGCAACACGTGATCTCGATTAAAAGCACACGGGGGGCTTCGGTGCACTGCGTGCCTGGAATAACTGAGGAAAAAATGAGGATCGAACCTTTGTAATTCCACTGCTCAGTGCAGACCTCACCACGCGACATCAGACGTAATAGATGTTGAACCATACCTCACCAGTGTGGGTTGGTGGGGGGGGGGGGGCATTCAGATATCACTGAGCATTGATGTTAGTCTACGGCTTGAATGTGAGTCACCGGGTTCATTGCGCGTTTCGCTCACCATTGCACCACTGCGCCTCCGCTTGCATATCCTGCATGTTCTCCTTTGAAGCGATGCTATGGTGTGTAAGCGACTGGAGTATGCTACATGTTGGCTGGCTCCGGGGTAGTCGCACGTTCTTCATTCAACCCTTCCTGACTCTTTTGTTCAACAGGCGAATGCTTTTTTCCTCCCCCCTCTCTCTCGCTCTCTCTCTTTCTCCAAAAACTCTTTCATCGTTAAGATCGTAAGTCTCCGCGCGACTTACGACTCCACATCGTGTGTGTGTATATGAAGAAATAAAAAGATCTCCACATGGCTCAGCTTAACTTGCAATTGACTGTGAACAAAAATCCCCTTAAAGAAACAAGAGCCATTAGACATATCCTCACGGCCGCGTGATTAAATGGCTTGCGAGGACATTTTGACCGATGTGCACGCCTGCCACTGCTATGCTTTCTTCTGATAATTTCGTTTGAATTGCGTTGCTGTGAATTCCTTCGTTACCTCCGTGGTTCTTCACTGCGAAGCAGCCAGCGTGCGCTCCTCGTAGAATCTGAATCTTTCTTCTAGCCGCTAACTCGTTCGTTGCAATAAAATATGCATTTGCCGGCCTTGCTCTGATGCAGCCCTAATTACATCTAATTACATTTCGACAAAGGCAGGTACTGCGTGGCAGGCCCTTTTTTTCTTCCTTCTTAGAATAATGTGGGAATTCATGGCTCATCTTTCCAGATGGGAAGATGATTAGAGAAAGTGACTCTTAAATACCATATGTTATAATTTGTGAGAAGTGGGCCTGTTTGTATCCCTGTGTTGGATCCCAATTCACAAAAGGAGGATTTTTTTTGGGGTGAAAAAATAGTCACTACACAAGGTACACGTCCCCAGGTCTGCCTTCATTTAGTCAACTGTCGAGGTAGTCACGATAAATTAAGGCTACCGAATTGAACTGAAATTGGAGGCGAGGAGGAGAAGGGCTCGGTGGGTAATTATTTCAACCCCGGGCGGCAAGTTGATTCATTTTTTTTGCTTCGAGGTTAACAAATGAAAGGGCCGAGTTTAACACCACTTTGTGCTCTTCCCGCAGACCCGCCAACTGTGAGGCTATCAGTGCACCCGCAGCCCGTGCAGGAGGGAGAGACCGTGAAATTCACGTGTTCCGCCACTGCCAACCCTGACATCACCGGATACCGGTACGCAAATGCACACAGGTGCGCCCGCCGCACGCCGCTACGGGTGTCCACACATGCAGAGACAATCAAGCACCCATTCAAGAGAAAAATGGGCCAGCTTATTACACGGTTTTTCTTTTTTGCTTTGCACACCGCTCCTGCATACGCGAGTGACTTGTGAAGAAGCTTGTTGTTGGTTTGTTTCAACTGCGTTGGCAACATCACATCTGAGGAGAGGGGGTTTAGTTTCTCCCTCCCGCTGCAAGGGCAGTTGGATCACACGTGTGCATCAGTCCAGCCCGAGGACAACGTTTAAAGTTCACAATCACTGGGGCTAGAGCCCTCCGCTTCACGGCAAGACACGAGCCGCACAATGCAGACCTCGCTGTGCGCATGCGTGCTCCCCCCCCACCCCCCCCCCCCCCACACAGAGAGAGTCGCAAGCTCCGCTAAGGACACCGCGCTCGGCTGTCATTTCCCCACCTGGAACTGTTCCAGCCTTCAAAGTTCACATTGGAAATAAAGGACAGGCCAAAACAAAAAGGACGAGACACAACCCCCGCGCGCAATGTTGCGCATTCTTTGCAGGACCTTTTCCCAAAACCCTAGTCACGTTCGATCTGCTCGGTCGGTTACACTGCCGTGCAATCTCCGCCGCACACAACAACAACAAAACCTCCCTGCGTCCCGCTCGCTGTCCCTATCCTCTCTCCCATCCGTGGGGCAGCTGGGCCAAGGGGGGAGCACTGATCGAAGGCGCGACGGAGAACACGTACGAGACGACCGTGGACTACTCCTACTTCACCGAGCCGGTGTCGTGCGAGGTGCACAACGCCGTGGGGAGCACCAACGTCACCACGCTGGTCGACGTTTACTGTGAGCAAAAGCACGCCCCCCCCTCCCCCAGTGGCCCCAGTGGTGTTGCGAAGCGTTTGGACGGGATCCAGGAGCTTCCATCATGAGGCATGGGGGAGCTGGGCGGACAGTGGCAGTAAAGTTTAAAGGAAAGGGTCCTACGTGCGATCAATAAGTTTGATTTGTTTTCTCTTCCCCAACTGCAGGTGGAAAGCTTCCATGGCTCGATATAACTCACCACTTCCTTTTTGCAATTAATGCTGTCTCAGTACAAAAAAATTACGCAAGGCGTCCACGATTCAATGAAAACGTAGGGCTGTTTTGGGTTAGGTGAGGGATAGAGCGCGGGCCGATAGAACCACGAGCGTGGTCTTCAATGGCGATTCTTCAGCGATCACACTTGGGACGCGGGCAAATAGCTGGGACTTCGCGAACCTCGGCATGAAATGCTTCCACCAACGCCAGGGGTGGGCACGTGGAGACTCGTGCGAGAAGATCCCCGCATTATGAAGTGTGCGTTTATGTTCAGATTGGTCGAGCTCGCACGCAGCTGTCTAACTAGAATTATTTGATGATGAACAACACTTTGATGGGACACTCTTGATATATAGAGAAGGCTAATGTTTCTTGGCAATGGCCTTTCTTCTTAGCAGTGAGGTGCAAATGCCGACTATATATTTTTTGCCGATGCATGGCAACGTTACCGGCCAGGTAGTGAATGTTGTAGTGCGTGGCTATGCAAGATTGTCTGTGCAGTTGCTTCGCATTTGTCTGATTCCAAAGAACACAGGATGAGATGTTACTATCCTTTGTGCAAGCACTTCCAAGAGTTCGTGAACAGTGAGCATGGTGAAATTTGGGGAGCGCATCGTCAGTAGTGAACCTTTGGGTCCTAGGGTGTTTCGGCCTTTCATACGTCTGTATAGATTTGGGAAGTTTTACACCTGGGAGAAGAGTAAAAGTAGAACCCAGCACTTTATGTATACTGGGTATGAGTATGCTAATGTACCGTATATACGGTTGGATTGATGACCAGTGTATAAAATAGCATATGAGTGCAGGTGAAATCTGGGTTTGTTGTTTTTTTTTACACTCCACTTTGATACCAAAATTCGAAGAAATTATTCATCAAAACCCGAGCTTTGACTTGAAGCGGTTCTGGCAGCTTTCGTGTTGAGCACACACCACTGTCACACCACCACCATCACCTGTGTGAACGAGCACTACCAACGTTGCTGAGTGACGTGTTGCTTCTGGGATCGTAGCTCAGCTGCCGGTTTAGGTGAAAGGAATACTAAAAATCATTATTTGTGCAGAAAAATCGAGCATTTAAATTGAATAATTTTTCTCGATTTGAATCAAAGATGCATTCGCACTTCACGTTCCGGGTCTTCGGAATGCCGAGGAGGGCAGTTGGCACATCGGCATTGTTTTCCGGCAAAGTGCACCGGTGTAGATATGTGCTATTTACACAGCCTGAAATAATAGGCCGTGGCAGGCGTGTAAATTGAGGCACAGACATTTCAAAATATGAAAGCGAGTGGGGTGGGGGGGGCTACAAAATAACATTCAAGGCGATAAGACCAGAAAATAGCTTTAACCTTGGTGGGGAATTTACATTCTACCGCTGAGCAAGAATGGAGAGGCGAGGGGATGGGGTGGGGATAAGTGGGGCATGAGTTGAGGGGGGGGGAAAGTCACGCGGCAAGATGTATTTCCAGGAGACGAGAATATTGTAATTGCTTCGACTGTCACTTATTATCAGATGAGGTGACAAATAAGGCCTGAATGCCACTGTCGTGGCATGCGTCCATGTGACCTGGGTAGCGCGGTGAGCCGAATAAAGCATCGAGGTTGGCTGTCAGGTCAGGTAGCGATGGCTCGCTTTGCTGCCTTTATTCATGAGTGTGTATAAAAGCTAATTTCACACAGCTCTGCCTCCTGGTATTATAAGGTTGTGCTGTGAGCACCGTTTTGCAATGATTGCTTCCAGGCTCTCTCCGCTCACATCTCAAGATGATGCATCTCAGTTGGATGCTGCCCGTTCGCTCGCTCGCTCGCTCGCGCGGTGTTAGATTTTATTATATTATTTTTTTACTACACCGAAGCGCGAGCACAGGTGTAAAGCCACTTTACAAAATCTGTGACTCCTTCCCGCCGACTTGTCTCGCGCGCCCGCGGGGACATTCGCGGCACAGCGCTCAATGCGTGTCATTTCACTTTGGCAATCATCGCGTTATCAGGCTGCTTCTTGTCCCCGCACAGGCGTCGCTCACAGGCAGGCCGGCACCTGCTGCCAGCTTACCCCCCCCCCCCCCACCGTTTCTGCCCTCCAACCCCCCCCCCCCCAAGCCAGCCCCACCTCCCTCAGAAAGCCGCATGAATGTGCATCAAAAGTTGCATAAGCCTTCGGCGCTCGGCCAACTCCAGCGAAATGCCCACGACCTCTAATGACAGTAATTGCAAATTGTATACAAACCGAAAAGTGGGGGCAATGGAGGGAGATCTCGGATAGAAAGTAAATCACATAATTCTTTAAAAAAAAAACTACGTTTGCACTCATCACGTGTACTCCGCGAGAGGTCCGAAAGTCGTCTGCACAGGAGGACAGTTTATAATTTGTTTTTAAATGTGTTACCACATCTCGCCAACACGCTCCGCTTGCTACGCCCGCCCACCGCCAAACTACACTTTGCATTATTAACGCCTGGCTCTGTTGCGACGTCGCCGCCAGTCGGGCCACGGATCGTGACGGAGCCACAGCCGCAGACCGTGGACCGGGGCTCCGACGCCACCTTCACGTGCGCCTGGTCGGGAAACCCTCCGCTGACCCTCGCCTGGACACGCAAGGGCTCCAACGTGGTACGCGTCAACGGCGGCGAGGCCCCCGTGCCCTTTTCCGAGTTGATGTTCTAGACAAGGCCGGGGAGCAATGTATGTACGCTGAACTTCTTTCGCACCATACGTGCTAATTGGAGGTGTGGGGGGAAGGACAACAAACGTAACACGTAAAAAACTGTTTTAAAAGGTATGAGTTTTCAATCTAGATTTTAAAGTGCACAGCTCCAGCGGCTTCCTAATATCGGAATGGAAGAGGCTTCCGGACTGCCGCTGGAGTGCATCCAAAAGCGTGCAATGCAGTGACCATCTTTGTTCGATGGCCACCCAAAAAGCTACCACCGCTGCGGAGGATAAAAATGTGCGCCCACGTGTGCAATGCAGCCGGGACCGTGGCACACGGAGCGCATTCCTCCGCGCGTTCTTCCGTGCGCTCCTCCGCTTGTGTTCGCGCGATTTGGCCAGGGTGCTGCGGCGATCCACATGGCGGCAACGTCACACTTTGTGTTGGCTTTCTTCCAACCACGCCAATCATCATTTTATTGGCCCATTATAAATGTATTCATTCGTTACGTTTATTTTTTTTTCTGCATAAAGTATTGGCCACGTTTATTATTATTGTTATTTATATAATAATGTTTTACTAATTTATTGATTGTAATATTTCTCATGGGCAATCCCCTATCGATGGAACGTCTCATGGACCAGGGTGTCAAGTGACACGTGCAGATCAAACGCATAATGGACTCGTGCGGAAACATTAACAAATTGCTTGATGACGATTGCTTGCGTTGCGATCGAAACGTCGTGATCTATTATTTTTTCTACCTACGTGACTTTAGCGACAGAACCAAAGAGTATTTATACAAAATACTTTCGTACAATATCAAATACATGCGAGTCAAAGGCATGAACAAGGAAGGCAATGCAGCGCGCATGAACATCGCAAGTGCACTCAAATGCGTCACGAATGAGGGCACGTGTGGTGCTGCTGTGGTTAGAGCAGATCACAGTTGTACTTTGGCTCAGTCCATGATCCATCATTCAGCAGATAATACAATGAGTATCACTTTGTGACAGGCCTAAAGTGGTCGTTCTGCAGAGGGAACAGCCACTGGCTGTAGAAAAGTGTAATTTAAACTATTAATAATCGCGCGCCTTTCCTCACGAGTATACACCCAACGGTTTTGTAAAGACATGATCCAGAAAAGTCCGCATGCACAAAACATTTATAAGTCCCTGTTATTCTGGGAGTGCATCAATAGCTGTTGGCAAGTGCATTTCTCTGCTTGTGAATGTGTGTGCGCCAGAGGTGTGGACTCGAGTCATGTGACTTGGACTCGAGTCAGACTCGAGTCATGAATTTGATGACTTCAGACTCGACTTGGACTTGCATAACAATGACTTTGTCCCACCTCTGAGGTGTGGACTCGAGTCATGTGACTTGGACTCGAGTCAGACTCGAGTCATGAATTTGATGACTTCAGACTCGACTTGGACTTGCATAACAATGACTTTGTCCCACCTCTGGTGTGCGCTACTTGTGAACAGCACTTGCCCCAACAGTCTGTTAAGGCTATGGCGGGGTGGGGGTGGGTCTTTGTGTGTACCCTGCAGGTGTTGAGTAACAGCAACATGCTGCTCCTGAAAGGCGTGACTCAAGACGACACTGGCCGCTATGTGTGCAAGGCCATTGTTCCACGCATTGGCGTCGGCGAGAAAGAAGTCATGCTGAACGTTAATGGTACGTTACACGCAACATTAAAACGCACGCACACAATAAAGTATCGCCTTAACAGACTGGTTGGCAAAGGCCCTGTTAGCGAGCACTTATTAAGGCCATCACGACACACGAGGGGGTAGTTGGCCAACACCACGCCTGATTGTCTCTGTCTCCCTAGTGCTGATGTTTAGATACCTGCACAAGGCACTCAATTGAATGCCGAGTTGACCTAAGGGAGGGCACAGGACCGGTTCAGATATTCGGCACCGATGTTACACCGTGAGTGGGAATCTGACCCTGGGGGTCGCCGTGTTTGCAGCGTAGCGCATCTGCGCCGCCGCTCCCCGCACGCATGCATACACACGCACGTGCGCACGCACAAACGGCATTCATGAAGGGCAAATGCACAAGACAATGACTCCACAACTGGCGACAACCGTAACCCCTGTTCAAACATTTGTTTTGTCTCCCTATGCCAGGACCACCCATCATATCTAGTGACCTTCTGCAGCACGCGCTGCGCGGAGAGAAAGGCCGGGTGGAGTGCTTCATCGGCAGCACACCACCTCCGGACCGCATCGTGAGTGCATCGGGAGCAGTCGTCTCGCGAGAAATAATGCCTTGTATTCTTGGCCTCACATCTTATAAAACATAGCGGTCCTACCGAGTGGCGGGAGATTACTTTGACCTGAGGAGCTTCGCCGAGAAAAGCGTCCTCCTTGACCGACTCGCCACAGGCAACAGCGACATTCGCGAACACCTTAACAAAATACGGGCAAGTTTCCGCAGTGACAAACGATGTCGGCGTTCGTGCCGTCGTTAACGAACCTCAATTGTTGGCTCACGTTCGCGCCACCAACACGGCCGTCATTTAAATGTAAAAACCAAACCGATTTTTTTCCTGTCATTCGGACAATAAAAATATCATAATTTAAGACTCGGAGCAGATTGCATTTTTGTTTGTAACGGCGGTGAGGCCAATCGACGGTTTGCGTGCGATCATGCGCCAAGTGTACCCGCTCACTACCGGTCTGGCACAATGCACATCGCGTCTTCTGGAGTCACATTCACTCGACCTCTGAACCCAGGGAACCAAGTTATATTCCCGTCCAAGGCTAATGTCATAACTGGTCCTGGGCCTCACCATCACCAGCCAACACCAGTGTAGTGAAGAATGGCTATACAACCCCTGATGACCTACACGGTGGGAAAACCTTCATCCACCAGTGACGGGATGTTATGATCTGTCAGTGGCACGGCAGTGGCAAGATGTTAACTACCACGCCTGGTATACAGGAGGTCGTGGGTTCAATCCCGGCCCTGTTTGTATATTTGGAGTTTGCATTCTCTCCCCATGGTCACATAGATTTGTATTCGGGTCCTCCAGTTTTTCCCTAAACATTTAGAAATGTGCGTTTAGAGTTTTTGCCTGCTAGAAATTTCCACATGATAAGCCACGTTTTTTGAGCTATCATTTGTGGCCAGGTCACTTCTGAAAAAGAGCAATATAGCACAGTGGGCATTACCTGGTAAAATAAAAAATGTGTTTAGTCGTGTCCTGACTAAGCGCTTTAAATTAACCCAACACTAGAAAAGGCTCTTTCATGGTGTGTTATCTGTCCATTTTCACATGTCAGTAATTCTACGTACATGTACATAAATATATTTCATCCATCAGACGTAGCTAAGTTGTTGTGCAGTAGGTGGTGACAAAGCTGATGCCACTGAGCTCAGAGAAGAGATGAGAACCGTCATGTCACGTCACAGCGAACGGGCCCTATAAAAGGCTTTTAGATAATGGCCCAGCCCTGCAATTACTTTCCCACACCACTGCTGGCAGAAGAACCTCTAATTAGAGAACACTCTAGATATTCCTTGGAGATGACATCTTGCAAGAGGAAAACAGGGTCCTTTAAAATAAAAATAAATATTTTTAAACATTTTCATGCAACCAAATCAACGAACAAAATGGCCAGTGGAGTACATTAAAATTATAGAAGGGACACGTGTAGGGCATATTTCTCTGTAATCCCCAGTCGTGATGTGGAAATGAAAAGAGAACTTTACAGCAAAGCAAGAGCAAAGCAAGAGGCATAGTCATTCTCTAAAGGCGTTTCGCAAAGACAGCAATAGATCACAGGCGAGTTAACAAAGTCCGATTCCTGCTCCTAATGAAACTCTCTTTTACACCCCCACCACTTTGCCACGTGGGACGTGGCAGGCGTGGGCATGGAAGGAGAACGTGCTGGAGGTCGGCACGTACGAGCGCTACACGGTGGAGACGGTGAGCCGCGTGGACGGGGTTCTCTCCACGCTCACCATCACCAACGTCATGGAAGGGGACTTCCAGACCGCCTACAACTGCACGGCCTGGAATGGCTTCGGCTCCGACACAGAGATATTCACGCTGCGGGAGAAAGGCACGGGCGTTTTTTGCTTGTTCGTTTTGTTTTTTTGTTGCGTCGCGAAAACCTTCGTATGTCGCGTGTTAGTTTTGGACGCTGCGGTGGTTCCCCGCGTGTGAGGACGGCACGATGATTCCAAGCGACCCAACGTCAATTCACAGCTGTGAAACCATGATAGGCCACGCCTCAACTTGCACCCCTGGGCGGAGTCATCCCAATGGGGAAGGACAAAATGACGTCTATCCGTGGATTCTGTAACACTTTGCCACGTGAATTTGCGCTCGGACGTATGCTGGCATGTGACCTCATGGGCCACAGCTGGGTTGGCCTCGTGCAATGGTCCAAAAGGCCCGTGTAATTAGTGATGAGCGGAATTGGCCAACCGTTTGATAAATATGGCTGCTCGTCCCGAAGGTAGGTTCGAAGTAGCAACACAACTGTATGGTAACCTCTTAACTATCTACATAAAGTCATCTTTACGAGAGTTATCGGTCCCACCGCAGCCAGACGGACAGAGCTAATGCATCAAGGCTTTCAACCTTGATCAATCAAAAATCTGAACAACAACAACAACAAAAAAATGGTGAAATGTTACAATCACCAATGGGAAGAAAGACAAAGTTGCGGCGTCGGCTCCGCCACTCACTTGTAGGCTTTTCACATGCCTAATTGGCACTCGCAGGCCCACCGTTGCCCTGGCCATCTAACCTGAGCTGCCGTGGGGAGTCTTGCCTCGATAATGCGTTTGAGCGTTGTGCGCGTGAAATCGTCCAAAGGGAGGCCCAGCGATCACAAAACATCACAATTATATATATTTTTCAAAGAACAAAAAAGTTTGCCCGATGATAAAACTCCAGAACAAACGACCCCCACACCGTCGTTTCTTTTTTATTTTACTTACAACACTTCGGTCGATGACAGTGCTGCTGCCCCTTCCATGTCGCGCTCGCCAGAGGTGCTGTCGCAGGGCATCGTGATTGGCGCCGGCGTGAGCGCTGCTGTCGTACTAATCATCGCCGCCGTCGCAGTCATCATCTTCTGCTGCCGCCAGCGACGCAGAAGTAAGTTTTGCCCAGCGCAGTTGCCACCCTGTCCCCAACTGGAGCATCTCTGCTGCACCAGGGCCAGGGGCCCATAGTTGACCAAACAAACACCTTTTTACTCGCCGCGTGCTTCTCAGCACCGCCACAAAGGGGAGAAAAGGGCAAGCTTTTGCCACGCACTGCTGTGCGGTATCTTCATGAATAAATTGTTGAGAAAAGTGATGCTCAACATGCAAACCCAAGCCAAGTGACCACGAGCGGCTGCAAACCCCCCCCCGCCGCGCATCTAGATAACTGCTTTGGACATGGTCTGTTGTGGTATCCTAGAAGTATGCCTTCTCGTCCGAATTATATTGTCTGCCCATGCTTACGTTATTTCCCATGCCAAGGTTGTGGTTGTCACATGTCTGATTATGGCCGACCAAGAAGGATACCCTTTCTGTTGTGTGGAGTGTGTATGTTCTTGCCCCCATGTTATCCCAGTTTAAATTTCGATTTAAAGCTTTCGTGACTGCAGGGATTCATCTTCTTGGTTCTTTCGGTAAAGTCACGTAGAAGGGAAGTAATAAAATAATAAAAATAAAAATAATAAAACAATTCTCAACCCCCGCCCCCCCCCCCCCCCCCTTAACTAAAAAACCCATACATTGTTAATCTGGTTAAAATGTTTAACGGTTATAAAACGTACCCACAAAATGTACTTGCATAATAGCGATCATTGCTCTCCGAGCAATGATCGCTATTATGCGCATGGGGACAGTTGACAAGAGGGGGGAATCGACGCTCTTGAGATGCTGACTCGGCCCGATTGAGCGGGCTCAATAATAACAGTGAGGCCAGATCACTTAAATCGGTCGTGAATGTAATCTATTAAATGCTACAGTGAAAAGCCTCTTCTGGGAGTGAGCCTTGCAAGACTATGAAAGGGGAGGTCAGCCTAACTTACATTTTATTAATGTCCTCTCACGTCTATCTGCGTTGAACTCACAACACCAAAGGCAGCTTCTATGAACTATTCCTGCCAAGCTTAAAGACGTTAACGTTTTTAGAATTGTAAAAATTTAATACGAAGTTGACCAGGGCAAATCAGATAGATTTTTTTTTGCTTGGTGTATAATTAGCAAAGAGGAGCAATTGATTAATATCTTTGCGTACTCAAATAATTAAGAATTAAAATGATCAGTAAGACCAGTTGTCTCTATACTAAACTAAACTTTTTTTTTACCAGGTAAGACCGACTGAGCTGTATTGCTCTTTTTCAGAAGCAACCGGGCCACAAATTATAGCTCAACGAAGTGGCTTATGTGGAAATTTATTGCAACCAAATACTCTAAATGCATGTTTATAATTGTTGAGTTAAAAACTGGATGGCCCGGAGAAAAAAACATTTGACCACAGGGAGAACATGCAAACTCCAAATATACAGTGACGTCAAGGTCGGGATCGAACCTATGCATACCAGGCGAGGCAGTTCCATCTCTCCACCGTGGCGTCCATACATGTTCCCATCGGTGCGTATTGACGTCTCATAGCTGTAGAGTTATTGATGAGCTCATCAGCCAGCTTGCAAATCAAATAGTTACCAATGTTATAAGCGTCCACGGTGTCATATTACATTTGACCAAGCGATCGCAACTTACATAGAGACTCGCAGTTTGTGTAGGTGTCGGTCACAGGTGCAAAGTGGCACGGTCACTGGTGAGCTATTTGAACGTGAAAATGTTCTTGTTCAAATACGTCCCGTAATATTCCATTTAAACCCCAAAGTAGTTTGCACTGCTTGCATGATGTGCGTCACAGCCAAGAAGGACATCAAGATCTGCAAGCACGACCCCAAGGTGGAGATCGTCCACAAGGATTTTGACCAAATTCGCAAGGAGATGTCCGAGGAAGACATAAAGCTGCCCGTCATGAACGGCGACCAGAAGTTCAACTACTACCCGGTAAAGACGAACAACACCCATGGATTTAATTGCTTCTAAGCCGTGGAAAGATTTGTACAACCTCCTATTAAAAGGAAATTAGTTTGTGATTTTTTTTTTTTGCTGTTGTTCAGAGGATGCTTAATAACCCATGCATGCAGCATATAAAGTGAGGCAGAACATTGTTGGTGCAGGAAATTAACAAGGTGGGCAACTTCTTAGTTTATATGGTCCAAAGCATTAAACAGATAATTAGCCTGCAGGACGATGCAGGCATGCACAATCGTGGGTATGTCTACATGCTCGCACGCCCCGCTCGTGCGCACGCGTGTGTGTGTGTGTTTATAATGGTGCTGATATCCGTGCATGCCAGGCGTACTCCGATGAGACCGACACGAAAACCGAGCAAACGACAGAACCCAGCGTGAGCCAGGATGAAGCCGACTACAAGGACCTCAAGGTGCATGCCAGAACGTTGAGGAAGGACACCACTGAACTGGCAAATAAGGGATTCGTGCAATTTGGCCGTGCTACAAATATATTTTTATATTTATATTTGCTAGCTATCAGCCTCCCTTTTGCAAAGAGGCCGACATGAACAATTTTGATGCGGGTAATTAATTGCTGGACCCAACCTTCTGTAGGGGCACTTTACGATGCCTAAGCTGCCACGCATTACGAGCCAAAAACATTTTAATGTATTCCCGATCGCTTTTCACATTCAGTGAGGGCCCGGCTTCTGTTCCTTTAAATTTCAATGAATAGTTTTAGTCCAGGGCATGAAAAAAAAAACTTACTTAAGTAAAGATATTCCAATTAACTGCATAGGTACACTTGTTGTCATGGCATTACTTCATCGTCATAAATTATTTCTTGATTTCCTTTGGTCCTATTTTCAATCTTTTTTCTAACACACAACTTGGCAGTTAAAATGCTTCTTTCAAATGCATATATTTATTTTTAAACCACTAAACGCTTTCTAATGCTCTAATTTGTTGCATGAAGCGTCTCTCGGAGGGGTATTATACTGCCACAATTTTTTCCCAAGACTATCAAACTACATCCTAAAACCAATAATTAAAATTTACCATTGACCTAATGAAGCTTGAATGCTGTAAATTAAGATATAATGGCTTTTAAATTCATTTAACGATTTCATCGCAATATCCCCCATTCCCTCCAACAATTTTTATTTTTTTATTCTCATCCCTTTAAAAAAATTACCCCCCCCCCCCCCCCCACTTTCGCCAGGACCCGACAAACGGCTACTACAACGTGCGGGCGCACGAGGAGCAGTCGACCACTCGCAACGCCTTCTCCGAGTTCCGCCCGCTGGCGCGGCCCCTCTACGAGCCGCGTCCCCCCTCGCGTCTCTCGCACGCCAGCGGGTACGCCCACCTGGGCGCGTACCCTGCGCGCCCCTACGACTACGAGCAGGCGGGCGGCTTCGAGCCGCCGCAGCAGCCGGACGGCGCCGTCGCCGCGTCCGCCGCCGCGGGCCTCGGCTCCGGGGGAGTGGCGGCGCGGCCGCCTTTCGGCGCTCACGCCCAGACGGGCGTCTACGGCGGCTCCGTCTACGCCCCGGCCTCCTCCTCCTCCTCCACGGCCGCGGCGGCCGCGGTCGGCATGGCCGGCCCGTTCGGCGTGGGCGGAAGCGCCGGCGGCGTCGCTGGGAGCGGGGTCGGCGTGTACGCCTACGGGCGCGTGCCGGCGTTCGAGGGCGCCGGCGACACGCTGGACCAGGCGAGCAAGCACTCGCTGTCCTCCCGCTTCTCGTACGCGTCGCAGCACTCCGACTTCACGGCGCGCCCGCTGCAGCAGCGCATGCAGACGCACGTATGACGGAGGCGGCGCCGCGCGGTGCAACGGTAAACCCAACGTCCTCGCAGAGGGGTTGTTGGGTTGGGTTTTTTTTGTTCGTTTGGAGGGGGTGGCGGCCGTGGGACGGAAGGAAGCTCAGAAAACGGCGTCCACACGGTGGGGGGGGGGGGGGGGGGGGGGGCGGCAGGGGGGGGGGGCAGGGGGGGTTGCTGCTGCAAATTGAGCAGGGTGGCGAGAGGGGCAATAGGCAGGGTTGTTATCGAGGCGGAATGTAAGCGCCACCCAGCTCCGAACGAGGAGTGGAACTTTCGTGCTCGTGGTAGAAATGTTACATTCCTGCGACGGAGACCGCCAGTCTGTCCGTAGTCCGGCCGCCGTTGATTTTCCCCTCTCCCCCCACCCCCCCGAGAAAAAAATGGTACTGGCTTGGAAATGATGGTTCCAAAAAAATATACCACGCTGCACGATTATTGCTAGAAGGCATGAAAGCGGCGTTGGCCATGAACCCGGTACTATTTACCAGTACAGAAAACAAACAAGCACTGCTTGCTGGATAAGTAAGCAAACATTCCAAACGAGGCCCTATATCTCTCAATAAATAAAAGCCTGCTGCTATGTTAAGCCTGCAGTTTTATGGCCGTAGCCAACCCAACGTTTTTGGGAACTTTCAGAAGCTCCCCCCCCCCTACCTAACCCACTCGGATGTTGATGTGTAAAACCATGACAGTGCCTTCATTCAATCGTACAGCGCACACGTGCCGTGTGCAGCGCGCAACATACACATCTCTCCCACCGGTTAGCACGTGACAATGACCATTTCAAAAAGAAAGCTTTAAATTAAACAAAGAAGGGGGTGTATATTTTGTGCGGATCTTCGCACAGTGCTCACACGGAGTACCTATTAACTCTCATGAACAATCCTACACTTGCATGCAGCTGTAGGGCGGTGGGGGGCATTGGTTGGACACGTTTTTTTTTTACCCCCAATGCCTGAAGGCTCCCCCCCCCCCTCCCTCCTGCAGAGCCTGGTTGCTGACCAACTATTTTTTCATTATGATTATTATATAAATGAAAAAAAGGAATCCCTGTTGTACTTGAAATGGCTTTTCATATTGTGTTTTTTTTGTGAAGACTTAAACGCCGTTGTAAATACCGTCCGGGCGTAGTATTCAGCCACTTTCCAACGTGCTTCCCAAACACACTCCGCACAGAGGCGGAAACTTTGAATTGGGAGTTGTTTTAAAAATATATATATATATTTGGGAAAACCTCGTAACAATAAAATGATTGAGGTTTCCCTTGCCTACGTCTTTATTCCTTTCAGCACAAAAAAATATAAAAACACCCCGCCCCCACAAATGTCAAGGTGTATTATTGCAGATTTGCTGCACGGGATTGTGTCTGAAAGTAGTGCCAAGCCCTTTAGGGGGAACGAGCAATTACAGATATTTTTCACTGTTGCTCCGAATGGGACCGCTCCTCTCTCTTTCGTCTGTGCTTTGACCTCGGGTTGGGCTTAGCCAGCCAGCCGGTCCAGAGCCGTAGGCCCAATTAAGCTTCGCTCGGATGTACATACATACATACGTACCTACGACCACAAAAGCGTTTTGTGCAACAACGATGTTTTGCAGGCACGGAAATCTGTATAGTCAATCCACACACCCCGATACTATATTAATTTTCCTATCACTCTGTGTACACACTACGTCACCACTATATTGTATAGTAACGCGCGTACTTGATTTCGACGTATATATATTTTTTGTATCGTACTTTTGTTTTCCCCCCAATACAAATAAGGTGAATCGAACAGAAACAGTTTTGGTTGCTGTTAATATATCTGTTGTGCACACCGGTACGCAAGTTGTTGACGAATGGCAGCAATTTCATTGAATGGATCAGTGTTATTTATTTGTATGTCAATAAAGCTCACTTTAGCATTTTAGGCTGCAGTAGCAGCATCTCACAGGCACATCTGATATTACATTAACTGCATAGTATTATATCATATGGTTGCAGGGAATGGGGGAATTATTTCATTCGGGCTGAATATCAAACTCCAGTAATTAAAGTCTCTATGCATCATTTATGGATTCGTTGTCAGCCCGAGGCGTTTTAGCTATCAGTTCACTTTCATGTAAATACAGTTTTACATTCGCCCGTGTAAATATACACGCATTTGCACACGTGAGGGTCTCACGCAAGGGTGTGTAAGGTGCGCTGGGAATAATCGCCCGTGGTGTCACCTTGGCCAAGGAGATCACCGTGCGTGCGTTGCTCGTGTGCGTGTGCACGTGTGTGCTCGTGTGCGTGACTGTGCATGTGTCGGTGGTAAACAGAACAAAAAAACACACGAGAATGCTTCTTCTATATTTGAGTTGTCATTTTTTTTTACGGTACCTTTTTTGAGCTTCGTTTTTTTTACACGTACGATTGTTATTATTAATTGCGCGTTAGCTACCCGTTATTTGTGCCGAGCGATCAATCATGCTGGCTGCATTTTCGTTGGGACTGGTGGTTCTTGTAAGTTCCGCTGAATCTTTGTCTCTTAAATAAATAAATCAAATCAGTGTCGAGAGACCCGTGCGGTGGCGAGGTCGTGTTTTTTTGTTCCTCTGCTAAGCCGCCCGTGAGCGAGCGGGGCTGCGTGCAATTACTGTATATTCAGCGCTGCCGACGGAAAGGTCAAAGAGAAAGAAAAAAAATCCCTCGGATGTCGAATACACTCCCTGCAATTAACTGTTGAGAATTAACGGTGGCTCGCCTCTTCTTCTCCGCTCGTTCACACACGCACGCACATGCGCACACACAGCACAGCGCACATGCGCACACACAGGACAGCTCACGCACGCGCCTTCTTCCCCGTTTGTGCACACAAAGACAAAGATCCCCCGTATAGCATTGACAGACTGTTGGAGCAAGTGCTGTTAGCAAGCACCTATGAAGGCGGGCACAGCACACGAGGTAGTGGGTGGCCAGCAACACGCCCGGCTGCCTTTGTCTCCCAAGTGGCGATGTTCACACATCGCACCAAGTATTCATTCGAGGCTGAGTCAACCTAGGCGAGGCCCAGGACCCGTTCAAATAATCGTCACCCTGTGTTGGCCGCGAGCGGGACTCGAACCTGTTCGCCAGGTTCGTAGTGCTGCGCGCGAACCGCTACACGACTGCTCCCGACGACCGCTCATGCACACACACAGGTGTGCGTGGGTTCACTGCGTGTTGAATCATTATTATCAGCGTTTCTTGCTCAAATGCGCCAGCGCATGCGAGAGCGCATATCGGGGGATAAAAAGATAGCAGGAATCCCTCAGCATTGCTGTGCACGTCAGGGTGGTCGGTATCACGCATTCGGTAAAGTCTTTGAAGATATCAACGTGACTTTACCGAAAGACCCAAAGAGTATGAATTCCTGCAGTCACGAAAGCTTTCAATCACGTATTCTGCCACGCATCTTTGCTTGCGATGACCACCTGCTTCACAGCGGTGATGATCGTGGCTTATTTTTCATTTGGGAAGAACCAAAGACATTGAGCAGCATACAGATTTCATCATTCGCATTGGGACTCATCAGCGGAGTGTAACCATACTTGTTCTACTTGCTGCCAATTGCGCCCTTTCGGGCAATGTGTGTTGTGCCCGATCTCCCTCTCTCTACACTTGGGGGATATTCGCACAGCCTAAGGGCAGCAGCAGCAGCAACAACACAAAATAAACTCAAGCACTTTCTCCAGCTAAAGATGGTCATTCAACAGCCGGGGGGAGGGGGGGACAAACAAACAACACGTGCGGGCCAGAAATAAATGATAAGCAGAAGGTGACTTTGGCCTGGAAAACGTGAGCAGGGAAAAACGCAAGACTTCGTTAGCGCGCACGGTGGACAAGCCAGCGTTTAGATCATGCATATATATACAGACGTGTGTGCGTATACGAGAATGTATCCTCAGCAAGCACACAAGAGGAGCAGAAAGATTTGGGAAGGAAAAAATACGACCGCTCGTAGAGCCTCCAAATTAGAAACGCGTCCAACGACTTTTTTTCTCTCTCCTACCGCTCCCAGTTGATAATTAACTCTGTACATCAGCGAACGTTGGCAATGCAATATGCGTCTCGCACGGTGGCAATTTGTATCGATTTTCCAATCACAGACGCATGAAAGTCAACCGTCCCCCGCGGTTTCCGCCGTATAATGTATGACAAACGGCTACACTGCAAGCGCGACGGGCCGTTAAAAGGGGTGAAATGTGCTCAAATACCAACATATCGATCAGCGTGCACCGCCCCCACCCCCCACAACAGTTGGGAGTGAAATGGCGAGCGGCGGCAATTAGAGGTCACGTATCGCCCCCCCCTCCCCCCTTGGTTCATCCCATCGAACAGGAGGGACTGAATTAAAAAGGTGCATTGACAGTGGTTGCCAATTCCGAGGCATCCCTTCCAACGCGGTTTACACGCGATGGGAAGTCCACCAAACCAAAATCAATCATCCCCCCCCTCCCCCCGGTGGGGCGCACAGAAGTGGCTACAAATTAGAGCAGTACATCGAATCCGTTCTGCGTGTTCTGTGCCTTATTTCGCCGCGACTGCTGCTGCTGCGTAAAAAAAGCAGATCAGTCTTTGGGGCTGTCCATAAATGACGTCACGCGATTTTGGACGATTTTTTACCCCCCCCCCCCCCCTAGTCACACGGCGTCACAAAAAGTCAGACCCCCCCTCCCTCAAATATGACGTCACAAAGCTCTGCCCCCCCCCCCCAAAAAAAAATAAAACATGCTTCAAATCGCTTTAAACTATTGTCATTGGAGTGCGTATTTAATGTGGCGCTGCACTCTGATGTATGAGAAAACATTTATTAAAAAAGTCTATTTTATTAAGTGGAACGTGTTGTCTATATTTATTTAAAGTTGCGCATTTTGATGTGACGTCACATTTCTCACCCCCCCCCCCCCCGTCGTCACACATCGTCACAAATGTCTGACCCCTACCCCCCATAGGTACGTGACGTCATTTATGGACGGCCCCTTTTGATATGTAAAACTGTGTAACAAAACAAACAAACTAAAATTGTGCCTGGGTAGTAAGTGTTATTTCCTAATCGATTATTCCTCAAAAGTACAGAAAATTGCTATTATTCCCCCAAAACTTTGCT